ACAAAGTCTCAAATATAACAATATAAAAAATTTCAACCTGAGAAATAAACAAGAAACTGTATATGAAAACACTACCTTATTCTTGGCATAAAATGGGTGCCACATGCAGACAGTAAGGTAATCAGAGCTGCATTTGACTTATGCACACCTCCCAACTCTACCACGTAACAAGCTGTCTGCCTTTGGGCCAACTCTTCTCCCCTTCCACTTCTGTTTCCCTGATTCAGCCTCAGTTTCCTTACTTTTGAGTACTGTCACTTGTACTTCTAAAACTCAGTCTACATCTCTCCTTTCCCACTGTCAGAGATTAGACATACATAACTATCCTTGCACTGTTGTTAGACTCCTGACTGGTTTTCCCGACTTAGGCTTTCCACTGTCTGTTTCATACTGCTTACAACCTGCGGGTTAATTTTTTTGATTGTAAAACCCTTTCTCAAGAATTTTAAACACTATCACACTTAACTAACAAAATAAGTCTTAAGACCCTAGCCCAGCCTTCAAAAGCCTTCATATACGGCTTGTCCATCATAGTTTTCTTCCTTGACTCTCCCTTTCATTGCATATTGCTTTTTGCTCTACTTGTATAGGTTCATATGTATGCCTAATCTCCCTTTACAGGCTGTAAGCCACATGTAAATGAAGACCGTATCTTAGTTATTTTTGTTTCTTGCACAATATCTTGTACATTGTATGAATTTAGTAAATGAATGGGGGAGTTAAGATAATTTATTGTACTTTCCTCAATTGTAAAAAACAGTATATGTAATTTGGCTTTTCTTGGTAAGTCATTGTTGTCATTCTGAATATCAGTTTCCAAGTTTTATTGGGAACCTATTATGAGAAGGTCCTCTGCTAGGAATATGGAGGTAGCTATGGATAACAGATGACCTTTTAAGGTGTCCTGCTAAATTTATCTTGTATGCTCTGTATTGGAAACCATATAACGATGGTAGTTGAAAATAAGTATAAATTGGCTTTGAGTCATAGTTTCAGAGGTAAATTTTCACAGAAAAAGGACAATGTAGGAATTGTGGTGCTGTGTGTGTCCTGTATCATGTATGTACATGTATGTGCATCTGTGTGTATGTGCATACACATGAGAGAGTGAGGGAGTACCCGAGAGAGAACATGAAAAACAAACAAATCAGTTGCTCAGATAATCTCTTTGAAAAGGCTTGTTCTGATTCTAAGCAGTATTCCTAAAACATGTAGTTTCCTGATACTTGAATAATATATGGCATCGATTTGTGATTATAAAGCTTTTTCACACGCATTACCTCTCATTTAGTGTTTAAATTGGTAGAAATTTCTGGATTTTAAAGGCCACATTTTCTAAAGGAAGCTATTGTTTTCCCTGGCTAATGTAGACACAGAACTGGGTGATTTCACGATTGGACACAGAAAAATTTTTTCTTTAAATTATAGGCCAGAGAAACATGTCTAAACCAATGTTTTGAAACTTTCTCTATGGCTTTTATAAGCTTTTCCTGTATGGCTACCAATTATATAAAGTAAATAGATTCTAACATTTTCAATATGACAATCTCTTTCAGTGTCAAAGAGAAATGAATCCTTATATAGCAATTGTTCTTTTACTGTCCTTTGATCGAGAAAAGTATACACAAAAACTATTAAATTTTGTTGCTTTAAAATTGCATTTTTTGGTGTGCGAAGCTCAGTCTGTATTGTGGGAAAAGCATGTAAAATGATGGACACATGATTTTTATTTTACTGTAACATTGAAAATAACGATTAAATATTATTTAATTCTGTTTCAGAAAAATAATTTTGTTGAGGACATTCTCCTTTATTAAGAAAAAAAAAAAAAAAAGGCATGCCAGGCATAGTAGCTTACTAATCCCAGCACTTTAAGAGGCTGAGGTGGGCAGATCGCTTGAGCTCAAGAGTTTGAGACCAGCATGGGCAACATGGTGAAACCCCATTGCTACAAAAAATATAAAAATCAGTCTGGTGGCATGTGCCTGTGGTCTCAACTACTTGAGAGGCTGAGGTGGGACAAACTGCTTGAGCCCGGGAGGCAGAGGTTTCAGTGAGCCAAGATCGCGCCACTACACTGCAGCCTGGGTGATAGCCAGACCCTGTCTCAAAAAAAAAAAAAAAAAAAAAAAATGCCCCTAAGTAAATGAAGGAATTATTTTTTTAGTTTTGCAACCTTGAATAATTTTCCTATAACATTTTAAAAATTATAATTCAGGTGACTAAAATGAAAGTGTTCATAGGAGGAAATAGTCATCTCTAGTGTTAGTGAGAAGTTGAATTTGATTAGGAAGGGGTTCAGAACGTGCTACCCCAAAATATGCCACTTTGGCTTATTGATTATTTTGAGCTGAATCTGTTTGAGAAACAACAGATGCAGAAAGAGGCTCTTTGATCTCCTCCTTTCTACCAAAAAGCAAATCATAAAATTGCCCGTGAAAAAGGTGTCTTTCCTGTGCCAGGAATAGGAGGACATTCTCATCACCAGAGACTGGGAAGTCGAAATAGACCTGTACAAACAAACCTACTAAAATAACCCTGTCTTCCATCAGTTTCCCCCATATATTTCCTCATTGTGTTCCCACAATTTACTGCCCCCAGCACAAGCTCTTGTGTCTTGTAACATTCCCATAATTGATCATTCATTGTGTAAAAAGCACATTAAATGTTTGGACCTAATGGTTTCTTTTCTTTTTTTTTTTTCTTTTTAACTTTTAGGTTCAGGGGATACATGTGCAGGTTTGTTAGTGGGTAAACTGTGTGTCGTGGGGGTTTGGTGCACAGATTATTTTGTCACCCAGGTAATAAGTATAGTACCTGATGGGTAGTTTTTCCATCCTCACCCTCCGCCCATCTTCTGCCCTCAGGTAGGCCCGGGTGTCTGTTGAATTAACGCAGGAAAACCAAATACCTCATGTTCTCACAAATGTGAGCTAAACATTGAGTACACATGGACACAAAGAAGGGAAAAATATAATCTGCATTTTAATAGTAAAAACATGTACATTCTTTGAAACACAGCGTCAAATGTGTATAACATAATTTAGTCTTTAGACAACACCTAATCGTATATAAATTCCCAGCCCCTTACAATCACGTAACTACTCACTCAGTGAGAACTTACAATGACAGGACTGCCAGTCAGGTTGGGAACCATTGCTTTTGATGATATGCTTGCCTTATTTAGCCATTGCTATCAAAAGCCTATGTTGTCAACCAGTAATTCATTAATTGATATATTAATTCAGTTGTTTTTAAAGTATTCTAGAACATTACTCTCTGAACTGTACTGTTTTAGTTTTCGGAAGATTTATCCCAGGATTTAATGAACTGGAATGAAGAACAAAAGCTAAACTTCTATTTGAATAGTTTTTTTTTATTCCACAGTATTTCATTATTTGCCATGTCTTTGATTATTTATTTTCGTTATCCATATTTCAGCATTAAATGTATTGGTAGGCTCAATCATATTCAGCTATACTGAGTGACTTTAAATGTCCCTGTGCCTAGTAGTCATCATTTGAATCTCAGTCTTTCTTTCTCAATACGGTAATATTCTGATTATCAATTTCAGTTTGAATTAGAGAAGGCTGGCCTGGATTCACTAAAATGGAGCCAACACTACTAGCAGAAGTTTCTGTAGCGTGTCCATCTTCACTTCCGCGTTTCCGTAGCGTGTCCATCTTCACTTCCGCGTTTCCGTAGCGTGTCCATCTTCACTTCCGCGTTTCCGTAGCGTGTCCATCTTCACTTCCGCGTTTCCGTAGCGTGTCCATCTTCACCTCCGCGTTTCCGTAGCGTGTCCATCTTCACCTTCCGCGTTTCCCGGTTAGCGTGTCCATCTTCACTTCCGCGTGTCCATCTTCACTTCCGCGTTTCCGTAGCGTGTCCATCTTCACTTCCGCGTTTCCGTAGCGTGTCCATCTTCACTTCCGCGTTTCCGTAGCGTGTCCATCTTCACTTCCGCGTTTCCGTAGCGTGTCCATCTTCACTTCCGCGTTTCCGTAGCGTGTCCATCTTCACTTCCGAGTTTCCGTAGCGTGTCCATCTTCACTTCCGAGTTTCCGTAGCGTGTCCATCTTCACTTCTGACTTAGACAAAGATTTTCAAGGGTTGACAATGATGGCTTATTGTTCCTTGATCAATGTGATAATTAATGTGATAATTTTTGCAGTAATGGTAATATACTAACATTTCTGAGATTAATGATATATTTTCCAGGAAATCAAAACAAAAAGCACTTAAACTATCTGCATTTCTACTAAGGCTAGAAGAAACTTAAGATTTCTAAGATACCAATGCATATATCATTGTAGATTTTTGTATCAAGTACCATTTCTAGATACTTTGAGCCTAATAAATTTGAACATAATGATAGCTTTTATTAATTTTGCTGTAAATATGCTAATACCATCTAACAACTTATTGTGAAAAACCAGATGTTCAGTACAGATGCAACGAGGCATTTCCTTTTTTGAATATTTTTTTATCTGAAGTTGATTGAATTCACAGATGCAAAATCCACAGATATGGAGGACTGACTGTATGTATTTAGTAATATATCTAGCAGACACTAGGAGATAGTATAACTATTAGTAAATATTTAAAAGGCGACTACATGTTGAACTTATTATTTATGACTTGTCTTGGTAGAAATAATATAATCTCACAGAGCAAAATTTCTATTCAATATGGAGAAGAATTTATAACAAGTGGAATAGGTTGCTTGAAGAGAAAAGTAGATTAGGTACGTTTCATCCCAGGCTGGGTGATCACTCGATGAGTCGTGATGGGAGTATAGCAGGGATCTCATGGGTGTGTGCAGTAGATAGCCTGTAAAGCCCCTTTCAAACATAAAACTGTAAAAGAAGAAATGAGTGCTTAGCACAAATTATGATTTAACACTGCTCAAAAACTCACTTTTAAATTGCTCTCTCCGCACATATTTTACAATGTCTCATTCAACTCCTCAACTGTTGTGATTTCCTTAAAAGCGGTACATTCAAAATTGTGCTAGATTCAGATGCAGCGGAATATGGAGGGCATCAGAGACTGGACCACAGCACTGACTTTTTTTCTGAGGCTTTTGAACATAATGGGCGTCCCTGTTCTCTTTTGGTAAGTAAGTTTCTCAACATATTTCCTGCTATTTTAATTTACTCTCTTATTCTTCTAGTAATGTTTTTGTTCAAAAAAACAACTCTTCAAATAAGCAACATGGAATAAAAGCATGAAGGAAAGGGATTAGGGAGAGGGGACTATGCTTGACCAGACGTAATGTGTGGTACTGGACTAAATTGTGTTTTGGAAAAACTAATAGTAAAGGATATTTAGGGGACAATTGGCAAAAATTAAATATTAATAGGATTCAAAACTATTTCTCAAGAAATGAGCAGAAGGCAGTTTTTTAATTTTTCTTTCAATTATGAACATTTCTATTCTTTATGCAACAATTCACTCTCCTTCTGTTCTTGTTTTCTCCATAACATTTTATATTAAGCAGATTTCTACATTATGGACTAGCAAATGAAGTTTCATTTAAAACACCTTAAAGGAGTCAATGAAAAATGTATCTTTCTTTTCTTTCATGTGGTAAATTGAAGACTGAATTTATTCTAGTTACAAAATTCTCTGGATTTTTTATATTACTGAAGGAAGCATTATATGACATAACTAAGTTTTACATTGTGGTGTTCACACAAATAGAATGTTAGAATGTTGTTTTAAACTACTACGTTTAAATTCTTTAAAATATGTAGAATTTAGTAAGTTTCTAGATTCAGAGGAATTCATTATTTAATTTATGGCCATATAGTGGGTTCAAAACCACATCTACCATTCCTAATTCTAGGAGGTACCTAACAAATACATGACTTTACCATAGCTGTTAACGTTCTTATGTCATTACATTCTCTCACTTTTCAAAAGTTTAGATAGAAGTCAGGCATGAGAATCTCTATGGTACCGCTAGGCCTTCCATCTTTCTACTGTTTTCCCACCTTTCAGAGTGATGCCAGCACTCAGCTTTGTAAGCTGCCATATTATACATAAAAGTGATATCCCAAAGATCACAGCATAAAATCACTGAAAAGAGCAGGGATTACAAACAGTGAGTTGTTAGATTATGGGTTGTGAGGAAAGTGCAGTGGAAAGTCCTATGAGAATTAGGTGTTACCCTAAATGTATGTGTGTGCATATGAGTGTGTGTTGATGATGACACTGATCCAGCTTTAGATATATGTGGAGAAAGATATATATTTTTAAGAGAGAGGGCTCAAGGGTACTATCACATTCTTCAAGGAATTATTACTGTAGTCTGTGAGAACATTCAATTTTGACATGTAAAATAAGATTGATAAAAATAGTTTTTTATCAAGGAAGTGAATAAGAAAATTACCATAAAGTTCTGAAATAATCAAAAGAGTTAGATGCCCTTAGGGTTTCGGAAAGATGATTCAGCTCACAAAGGGGAGTCATGGGGAAGGAGCAACTGATTGCAATAAAACTGAACTTTCACTGATGGAACTAGAATGAAAGGACTTGGAAAGACTCAGACCGCGAAATTCTTACATAGCCAGCTCTTCTAAATGTCTGTGTACCCCAACAGGGTTCTGTTATAAAGAGCCTGAAGGTATAGTGAAAATATCACAAAATGCCGTGGCACAGGACCTGGGATCCTGACCCTAGTCTGCCATTTACTCACTGAGAAATTGAGTGATTTAACTTTTTTTTTGCACTGCAGTTTCCCCCACCTGTAAAATGAGGATTATTCATATTATCTTCCCTATAGCAAGAGATTCTTAGGAAGCAGAAACTCTTTAACATGCCCAAGGTATTTGGAAACTGTAAAATGCTACTGCATATGTATTTTAAAGATGTTATTGTCATGGATAGGCAATTATTATTTAGTAGTTTAAACATGTCAAAATACTAAGTGTTTTGAGGACACACAATTAAGAATACCTTCTCCCAACTTTGGGGAATTATAATCTCAGGCGACGGCTCAGACTCTTTTGAGGTGGGCAGAAAATATCTTCACATCCTTTCAATTTTGTGAGAGTAAAGATATGCTGGCATAATTAAACAAGCCAGCCAGCCAGTGGCAGCAACATCAGGAGATTACTTTTCAAGCACTAATGGAATTGATCTCAACAATGTGGAAAATGCAGTTGTAAATTATCAGATGGAATAAAGATCTCATAAGTATCAATAATACGTAGAGGAGGACAGCACTGCAAGGACATGGCAAACAGAAAAGAGCTGAACGCTGCCTGCAACAGAACTCTAATCCAGTGCAGCCCGTGAAATGCGGGCTAGCTCTCTCCTCCCAGCAGCAGAATCTTGTTTTCCATGACTACAGTGCTTCAGGAATTACTCCTTTAAATACACCTTTAGGCTCCAGATGATAAGATCACTCGTTTTAATGTCAGATTAAGGGAGTCCACACAGACTAGTAAAATACAGAAAATCTAGGCAAACAGGTTTTCTTTTTACCCCAGTTATTCAGCAAAGAGCCAGAGGAGAAAAAAAAAATCACATTAACAAATGTACCTACTGTAATAATGCCTCATTATAAGGAAACTCCTTATTAAACTGAGTCTTATGTGCTGGGATCCAGTGGAGTTGCTTGAACATGATCATGAGTGCTGTAGGTCCTATACCTTTTCAGTAAGATCACTCATACCTCCCATTCTCACAGACTAAAAGGAGGAAGGAAGAACAAAATATAACTTTTCCTTCTTCCATGAAATTTTTGCCCATCATAACTAGTACACAGCATTTGCCAAAGCTTAATTTGCAAGCTTAATAATACAAAGGATCGCTGAATAAGTGTCAAATCTGTTTTCAAAGATAGCAACAGACAGCTCAAAGGAATTTTATAATAGCCGTACATGCTGCAGCATCAGCAGGTGCTGCTCTAGCCTTGTCTCTGTGTGCTCCCTCAGTTGAAACTGAGAGCCGGGGATAACTGCGTGTGTACCGCCATGGAAACGTATTTGCTAAGGTCAGAGTATGTCACAAACGTCCAAAAGCGATGGGACAGAGCTCTGCCAGTCTGCTTTACTGGCAGTTATTGGAAACTCCATTTTAGCATAATCATTTCTCTATAGTTTGATTCCTGATACAGGAACCTAATATGTTAACCTATATGTTAATCAGTGCACTGGAGGCAGGGGACTTCCTTTCTCTCCTCTGATTCATAAAATCAAATTCCATGGCACAAATGGGAGAAAAGAGATTATTGAGCCTTAAATGAATTTGATTTCTTTACATTAACTGAATGATGATGATGAAAATGAGAATAAAGCAATAGATGTAGCACTAATTACTTTGACAATTAGGCTTCTTATCAATAAGAAGTAGATGTATTTACTCTCATTCTAAATTTGGAGGTTCAAAAGTAGACTTGATTTAAATGTAGGATTTGGCATAGATGTATCATCTTTATTGCCCCTCACTTGTAAGTTTTAGTACAGCTTAACAGTTGGAAAATATATTTTGCTCTATTCAAAATTATGAAAATAGTTTTTTTAGAAGAAAGAAAATCTTGATTTTTAGTTTACTTTTTTAATGTATATAAGTTAGATGAGCTAATATACATTTCTATACAGAAACACTAGCATCACTTTTCTCCCAACCCTAATGCAAAATAATGAGAATTAGAATAAAAGAATACAATTTATTTTTTCTTAAAAAAGTATTTTATGAACTAAAGCATGTATGTGAAAACTAAAATTATATCATCTTTTATTTTTCAAAAGACTGTGTAATTTTTATTATGAAAAAAATGTGTATGTAGACTATGAAGGAATCTAATGACTTTTTCATTAAATGATGTTTTGTTTGTTTTCTTGTGAGACGGGGTCTCACTCTGTTGCCCAGGCTGGAGTGCAGTGGCACGATCTTGGCTCACTGCAACCTCTGCCTCCCAGGTTCAAGCAGTTTTCCTGCCTCAGCCTCCCAAATAGCTGGGATTACAGCTGCACACCACCATGCCCAGCTAATTTTTATATTTTTAGTAGAGATGAGGTTTCATCATGTTGACCAGACTGGTCTCAAACTCCTGACCTCAGGTGATGCACCTGCCTCGGCCTCCCAAAGTGTTGGGATTACAGGCGTGAGCCACCATGCCGGGCGCACTGAATGCTGTTTTCATTCTTCCAAAATTATATGTGTATATGCTATTTCTAAACTTACAAATTTCTAAGAGAATTTTTTAAATTACCCTTTAAAGTATTAATTTTTTTTTAATTTTAAAATTTTCTTTTTTAAAATGTTTGACACTGTGTTTTCAAAAATTGTGTAATTAAATTTTGCAAGTTAATTATTAGTCCTACAGGAAAATATAGGCCTAGAGGAAAATAACATTTTGCCTGAATGACATAAAATAGACCATTGTGTGAACAGTTGCTTTTTTAGCCACACTCATGGTTAGTGTAATAATTAAGTCATTAAAGTCATCAAAATAACTGAGTAGATTAGCATGCATTTGACTCTCTTAATAAATGAATTGGATTGTACTGTGCTATTCTGATTCTTTGTGAAGAGCAGACTATTAATATAGCTAGAAAAAAATGAAACTCATGGCTGTATACTACATTGTCTCATGTTCTTAAGGTGATTCTAGATATAAAATGTTTAGGGCTTACAGGCTAATAAATGGATATAGAAGATATGTTTATCAGCATGCATGTTATGCATAGTAAGTGCCTTCTATATACAGGTATGTCAATATACTTTTTATATTTAAATATACTTAAATGATTGTGTTTAAATCTACTTAAATGTGTTCATGCTTCTTTTCTCTTGCCATATTAATCAAAACTATTGTATGAATTAAAATGATAAAATGAGAATTACAGAGCCAATACTTAGACTAAATTTTAGGAACCCCAAATTGTTCGTGTCTGTAATTGTCTCATCATAAGGGTTAGCTCTGATTGTCTTAAGTTCTTTAGTATAATTAGTAGTAATTTCCTAACCACGAAAAAAATTGATTTACATACTCAGAAGAAAACTCAAAATTCCATAAATAGCCATAGTTAAGAAAAATCACTGGCTTAGGGAAATTCTTCCATGTTGCCTATACCACAAGGGCTCTGGAGCACTATAAATACATTCTGGTAATTAACACTGCAGTGAAATATGCGTATATTATTACAAAGTATTTCTGTTAATGACATTATACAATTGCGAACCAAAGGCTTTTTCTTTGTAGCGTATTGCATTGAGAGGTCTCTGAGTATGATGGAAGTGTCGTTATAAACCTCCTTACGTGAAAAGACCAGTGTCTGTTAGTGAATATTCTTGAAGCATTTTTTAACCATCAAATGCCACAATGGGAATATATTTCAGTGCATATACTGCAAACCTGGAACTTTGTTATGGCATCCTTTGAAAAAAAAAACCTCTCGGCTGGGTGCGGTGGCTCATGCCTATAATCCCAGCACTTTGGGAGGCCGAGGCGGGCGGAACAGCTGAGGTCGGGAGTTCGAGACCAGCCTTACCAACATGGAGAAACCCCGTCTCTACTAAAAATACAAAAAAAAATTAGCCGGGTGTGGTGGCGTATCCCTGTAATCTCAGCTATTCGGGAGACTGAGGCAGGAGAATCACTTGAACCTGGGAAGTGGAGGCTGCGGTGAACTAAGATTGCGTCATTGAACCCCAGCCTGGGTAACAAGAGTGAAATTCCGTCTAAAAAGGAAAAAAAAAAAAAACCTCTTAAATTTAGACAAGCGAAAATGCCAAAACATGAAAGAGTAAGAGTGATTCTAAATTATCATTATGTAATTATTATTATATTTCATTAATGAAATAATGAGGTTATGAATGAAACAGTAGATATCACAATTGCTTAGGATCCAAATCTGAGCTATATCACTATAGCACGCACTTACAGAGACCTCTCATTATTTATCCTAGACCTGACTGATGTGTTTCATTGCCACTTTCCCAGGCACCTTGGACTTATCAGAGTCTTTTTGCCTGCATTGTAGGACAATACTCTATAAGAGAAATGTTTTCCATGTAGAGGGAGCTGAAATTACTTTGTCTAGTTTCTGGCTCTACTGAAATATTTAGATTGGTTTTCAGTTTTAGATTGCTCATGGCAGAATAATTCAGAACCGTTCAAATTGTAACCTTCTGTCCCACTGATTAGTTAAATCCAGTTACTGTGATCCCCAAAATGAAATATGTAGACTATGGCCAGCTGCGGTGGCTCACGCGTGTAATCTCAGCAATTTGGGAGGCCAAGGCGGGCAGATCATGAGGTCAAGAGTTTGAGACCATCCTGACCAACATGGAGAAACCCCATCTCTACTAAAAATACAAAAATTAGCTGAGTATGGTGTTGCATACCTGTAATACCAGCTACTCAGGAGGCTGAGGCAGGAGAATGGCTTGAACTCGGGAGGCAGAGATTGCAGTGAGCCGAGATCGCACCACTGCATTCCAGCCTGGTGACAGAGCAAGACTCCATCTCAAAAAAAAAAAAGAAAAAAAAGAAAGAAATATGTAGACTAGACTAGACCCCCTAATAAGTACATGGGAAACTCCTTTAGAAGGGTAGGTCACTTTCTCAATTTGTACCTGTTTTGATAAGATGTAGGGAGGGAATGGGTTGAATCACACTGTTTGTTTGTTTGTTTGTTTTTATTTCTCCTTCTTTGCTTTGGGTTGTGTTCATTTTGTCTGTAGCTTGATTATGGAAATGTGCTCTCCTTTGGACTGGGTCTGTCGGGATCTTTGGTAATAGTCCTGCTTTATTTGTGGATGACTCCAGCTTCCTTTTATTGACTCACTCTCATAACATCTTGCGTATGACAAAGAGAAAACGTTGCATAGAAAGGATTGCATTAGCAGTGAAATTCTGATGTGGTATGATAGTTATAAGATATAAAATACAATGTGTAAACTATAGGGAAACAGCTTGTAGCACTGAAATACATGGTTTTCTCACGCTTAGTGACTGCATGGATGTAATATTTATCTTTTTGGAAATACTGTATTGCAAAACAGACCATGAGACATTGAGCTACACAGTGACTGTTAGCATTTGTTAATCTTTTTCAGATGATCTTCATTTCCTAAAACACTGTTACTTTGAATTGAAGATTAGAAAAACTGTTCTCTGGCCATTAAATCCAGAATATAAATTTCTTTAAGTGCCACCATTTTAAACCTGCTTTAACTTTTGATGTTAAAAACTAACCAAGTGTATCAATATGTCTGATTTTTTTGAGTAGTATTGGTTCTTTATTGTGAAACCTTAAGAGAAAACATTGTGTTCATTTGCAGAGTTGAGATGTATTGGACATACAAGTCTCATTAAATGAAAATCACCTGTTCTGTTTCTTTAATTTTTTTTTTCCTAAAGTCATGTTTGCTTTGCGCCTTCATTCTGGTTCTAACCTCTGAAAGCCTTTGTTTTTTTTTTTTTTCTTTAACCATCAGGCAAGCTCTCATTTAGAGATAAAGTGACTGAAAATAGTAAAATACCAGCAAAGTCAGAAATGAAGAGAGATTGTCACAATGACAACCATCTATAATATTATTTTTACTGTTTGCTTTGTTAATACTTAGATACATGGTTTGAACTAGCATATAAATAGCATTAAGCAGTTCAAATCACTTCTCAATTTTATAAAAAGATTTCAGATATATTAGAGAATATCTTGTTAAATACGCATCTATTGATCCGCTATTATTCCTTTGTTCATTGTTCATTTATTTAATTCAGTCATCATCAACATCTGCCTTGTCCAATGGCACCAACTGAGAGTTAGAAGTAAAACGTATGACTTCCGCCTTTCTAAAGCTCATAGTCTAATGAGGGAAGCAGCTGGCAAACTTGACAAATCATTCACAAATTGTGGCAAGTGTTCAGAAAGAAACAAAAAAGCTGCCATGGTTAGAAAAGAAGAACTTACCATATCTAGGGTTGTCAAGGAAAGCCTCTCCATATAGCTGGGATTTTTCCAAGAGATAAGGAACCAGCAAGGCAACGAGTGTTTACAGCAGAGGCACATCACAGGCAAAGATTCAACAAAAGGGGAGTGTTTGATGTGTCCAAGGAACTGAAAGGCTCCTGCGGCTGGAGTGTAGTGGGTGAAGATGCAAGCAAGTAGCTGAGCTGGGATACCAGATGCAGGCAGAGAGGAGCCAGTCAGGGCTGTGCTCACCATGGAGAGAATCTGAATCCTGGTTTAAGTGCAATGGCAAGCTTAGTCATTGGTTTAAATTGAGAGTCAGGATTCCTTATGTTACATTTCAGTTTTTGTTCTTGAAAGGGAATAAAAGAGACAAGATTACAAATAAAAGTGTCTTGATGCAAAACAAGTGCTTTGTATATTGCTTTTCTTCATCTAACTGAAGTAGTAACATTGCGAACTGGCAGCCTTCCTTCACCACCTGATAGAGCCTCAACATGGCAGTGACAGGGCCGGTTACATCATTCCTGTGAGGAGCGTTGGTTTTCATTAAGTCGTATGGAGCCCTCTAGTGGTGATTGCTTTCTGATAGCCATGTTGCTGCCAGAACTGTAGGAACTGCGAAATTGAGCCTTCTAAGAGCATGTAAAATTGTAAAGGCAACTGTAACTTTAGGCAGATGTGAGACTGCATCGTGCCTATATCTCTTGGACATAATGACAGGCCGTTTGGTACTCTCTTCAGTTGCACTGACATAATTGTTTTGACGTAGGTGTACATTCCAAGCAGAGTGGCGCTCATCCTTCAGAACGTGGATCTGCCGAATTGAAGAGGCCTGATTTCAGCTCCACCAGACGCAGATTGGTGTTTTGTTTTCTTGTTATCACTGTCACACAGCTTATAACATGTATGCTTTTCAGAATACAGTTGTCTAGCCAAACCGTCAAGTATCCGAAGTTCAATATTGGTTTATGCAAATACAGCAAACTTTTCTTTAAGTAGATGGGAGAATATGTTTAAAATATTAGGAATCCTAGACCATATTTTCAAGTCATCTTAGCAGCTAGGATTCTCAAATGGAAGTGTTATATATAATATGTTAAAAACATTTTGCTTTCCTGGCTAATTATTTGATCCTTTTAAATTCTAATTTGAATCATTTGTCATGTGTGATTATTTCTGTTAAATGTACACAGTATTTAAGATGGATATTTGGTGGCTGTATTTGTTCTGATATCTTTTGGTCTAAATTATGAGGTACCGAGATTGTTTCTTTGTTTTTTTTTTTTCAAATTGTGTTTAGAAATACTGTAATAAATATGCAATAGTGATACAAAATAAAGAATTATATCCAAGATAATATAAAAGCCATTATGTATGAACTCATCCATGTCTCGTTTTGTGTAAGTTTTATTTTGTGATCTCTTGTCCACTATCTTGTTAAATGCCATTACCTCAGTCTTTCTGAAGCCCTGAAATGGTAATTGTAGCATTTCAGAAAATGTCTTTCATTTCAATCAATAAAAAGCTTTTGTAAAATTGCCTTTGCTAATGTTTATTTTGCTATACTATTGTAGGGCTTGATTATAAATGAATATTACTGTGCCTTATCTCAACTCTAATACCTTCTCCACATACGTTCACATCTACATGATGGACTAGGAAGCATGCAGATTAATATTTTTTTTTAGGCGCAATTTTGTAACTTGAAATCACACTAACCAATTTTGATATCTAAGCTACTCCTTCATTGTAAACCTGAACACTTTTAGAAGCTAAATTAAGTATCTCAACTCAGTAGAATACTTCTTCATGAATGTACCCCTTGGTTAATTAAATACCAAGATAGGTCTAAGATCATTGATTCATAACTGAGAGATTATATTGTACTTATGGGACATAAAGTATCTGTTACTTTTTTAAAAAGATCTAATTTTTCCCTAATATTAATATTGACTGCTTGTTTTTTGTTTTTAGCCTGATTATTTGTGATTAATTAGAAATGAGTTATTTCATTAAAAACTCAGTAGGAGAGATAAGCAATAAACATTTTTACAGCCAACTCTATACTGTATATTAACCAGCATCCTTAAACTGTTTTTAAATAAAGCCTTGAGCATCTAAGTGTGAAAGGTGTTATTTACTTTAACTTCTAAACAGAATAGTGGTTTGATTTCCTGAAAGAATCAGCAGTGCCAGCTGATAATGATTCGTGCTGGGGAAAATTACTGAAAGTCATCTGTACTGGTTTTCCCATTGCATGGACATTGTTAATATCTCAGCACTGGCGTGATCTCTGTACTGTGACTGTCACTGATAAAAACACAACGTAGAACCCTGAAGAATGATATTTCATGTTCTAATTTATAGTTCCTTAATTTTGCATGTGTTATATATGAAGAGATATACCGTTTATTAGGTATAGTTTTTAAATTACAATAAATTATTTAACATCTAGAACCCATTTACTTTTCATTTTGACCTCTGTGGCAGAGTGAGGAAGACCAGACTAATTATAGACCATATTTGTATTATATGGATTGATTTTGCTAATAGGTTCTTTAATTTTAGAATCTAAAGTTAGGATTTAACAATGTAATACAAGTTAATTGCCCCTGTCAAGTGCCCTTCTCCCCCACCCAGAAGAGCAGTAAATGCATGTTGCTAGGTAGGAATTACAAAAACCCATACAAACAAATAAAATATTAAGAGTCCAAAATGGAAAGCAGTTGGGTTATATCACAGCATAGATGACCTTTATGGAACATTCTAATATTCTAATGTATTTTACTGTAGGAGTTTTCATTTACGTATCAGTAACATTTTCATTGTTATGTCATCTTGTGGGAAGTTCTTTATTGGCTAAGTGTTTCAATAATCAAAACAGAAAGTTGCAAAATTTTACTCTTATAATGTGCCTTATATTGTTTTTGTCTCTGACATGTTTATTGCCAACATCAGAAATGAGAGTGACCTGTCTTTGTTGACTTTTTAAAAATAAATATTTTGCTGTTTCAGTTCTTTATGTTCTAGAAAACATGAGTACAGATTTCTTGCTCTCATTTTCTAATATTAGCAAATGAGTTCTAGTAGTTGCCCTATTATCCATAATAGGATTTACACCTAATGCTAGTGATGCATAAGGTTTTCATTTAATAAATAGCCTACTCAGGAAATACCATAGCTCGTAATAGCCAAAAATTGAATTGTAAACATTTCTCCTAGAATGGTTCCCACTTTATACCACTTGAACTCTGAGGGTCAACTTTTCTCATATTCTCTTTTCTGTAAGTGTCATGTTTCTCAATTTGCCCTGTTCTTAGCTGACATGTTTATCTCTAACCTAAAATGAGGGAGTTAGCCACCATGTTCCTCAAGTTCAAAAAGTAACCAGTGACAATAAATTGATTTTTCTTATAATAGCTATAAAAGAATGCAAGTTTTTGTTGTTGTTGTTGTTGTTGTTGTTGTTGTTGTTTTCTCTGACTGAAGCACTCCCCTTAGCAATACCAATTCAATTCAATATTTATCACCCATCAGGGTTATAGCCATTGCTATGGGGATCATATAGGAGGTTGTCTGAATAAGAAGCCTGTTCTTCAAATAATACAAAAGAGAGTGCAGACAGATCTGGAGGAAAGCAATGAAGGGTCGTGTGTTTTCCTCTCGCATTCAGCTTTCAGTTTCTGGAAAAACACCTTTTCACTGTCTCTGGTCCTGAAGCCATTGAATCTGTTGATGAAAGCAATGTAAAATAGCTTTCTTATTGGTTTTCCTATGTAGAATGAGCTGGAACAGACAGACCTGATAGAGACCAAAACAGTGAATCAGCTTGCTGGCTGGCCTTGTGCCTCTCAGACTATTTCTTTTTGCTATTTTGAGTCATGCCCTAAGCTTGAGGTCTTCAGAGTAGTGAGTTTCATTTCTTTCTCTATTCCTTATAAGGGGACAAGCACTGAGCTATGAACTTTGCGAGGTAGAATATTCTGATGAAAGAAAATAGCATAGCAATGTCATGTCCTTTATGCAGTGCAGTTCATTTATCATTCACAATGTGTTAGAATAGAAATGTAGATAAATTTTCTAACTAAAGCCAGCCTTTAGGGGGGAAAAAATCAAATGAACTCCCTGCTAATTTTTTTGCTCTATTATCTTATTAATGGTGATTTGTAGAGAATTTCAGAGAAACATTCATATTTTAGGGCAGAGTTTCTTAATTGGTAGTGTGAGGAATTATCATACAGTAGCTGTAAGTGTTTTTGTCTCCCTAAGATGTTACATCTGGATTTTAACTCTTGGCAAAAACTATGCAGAGGAAGCAATGTTTATATACATTAAAAATGTATTTTGTGTTAGATATGCTTATGCTAATGACATGTCATTCAGAAGCTTACTTATGACTTACAGTTTTTCTTGTTATTTCTGCTGGACCAGAGAGAGGTGTTTAGCCATCATATATGCTGTGTAGACTGTTTTACCCAGAAGCCTGAACTGTATTTTAAAAGAATAGTGTGATACAGTGGACAGGAGACATGGGCTCAAGTTACAACTCTTCATGCTCAGTGCCTCATTGCTTGTTTCCTCTTGGAACATACGGATGTCCCAGTGAATTCCTTTCCCCTGTGGTCAGTGTAATGCCCCCTTAGTGTTTCAGCTACTCTCAGGCTCTGCACTAATATAGCCCAACCTTGTGAATGGCATTTAAAGGTCTCTCTACGGTAACCAAGAGGGCAATGTAAACTATATACAAAATGAAATAGTCTTAGACCCCATCATAGCAACCAAGTGTTGAGGTTCTCTATTTCTTTCCCTCTTCCCCTCCTACTCACAACCTAGGTAGACTACAGGCAGAAGGAATAATTGACAGAGAAAGCAAGAATTGCGAAAGAGAGCTCATAGGTAGAAACAATTTGGTTCATCTTTTTTTTGTTATGAAAGTCTGTACTCGTAAGAACACATTGTTATTAATAAATGTTTATACAACTAGATGTTAATTTCTTGAAGATGGTGGAGAGATATCAACCATTGGCCTGAAATTTCAACATCTGTCTGATAGTAACAGTAAGGCAATACAAAACAGAAAACTGACAAAAAAAAAAAGCTATCACACCAAATTACTTTCCACACAAGAATTTGAATTAAATGAAGTAAGTGTTCAAATTGTTTATGCATATTTGTCTAAGGTAATGCGGGAAATAGAAAGCTGCAAATGTGTGAACAAACTCATCCAATATACATATTATAACACATATAAATGTGTGAAAAAACACACATATACGTATATAATTTGTAAGTCAACTGAAAACACAAAGTCCACTAATTCTAATATTTGACTTGAACAAATGAATCACTTGATCTCTGTGTGTGATACTTGTTCTCAATTTTAGGTATTTTTCTGGTTACATACAAGCATCAAACCCAAACGAATGATTTTATTTGGATTTAAAAAAGGTTCTAGATCTGTGCAATGAAATGCAATATATATGTTTCAAATCTTTAGAAATTTCTCACCTCAAACTATTTAGCTATAAGTCTTCTATTTTTCCTTTAGAAAGGAAGGAGGAGGAGATGAAATAACTTTATCACTTCTTTATTTATATCCAGTAAGGATTCTTTTTTAACTGTTTGTAGTGTCACTTTCCATTGACTCCAGTAATATACATGAAAAATACTGTGTGCAACTTCATTACACGCACACCCCAAGCCACGCTGTCAATCATTGATTAAAACTGATCATATGATATTACACACATGCAGACACACAGTCGCTCTATATTCCCTCTTGTTCTTTCTTATGGTAAATGGGCATCACTCACTGGAACTTTTCTATGTAGAAAAAGCAGTAGAATGCCTAATTCTTTACTGAAACATCTATTTTTTGAAAGACATACTGTATTGGCTACCATGTATTGAGCCCTCTCTTTTTACTGTGTCCTGTGCTGAGCACATTTTTATTCTTAAACTGCAAAATTATTATGACTGCACCCCTTTTGTCTAGGTTGTGCTGATCTCACTGTTCTCAGCTGCCTTTTATGCTATTTGCACAAAGGATCACCGGAAATCTCTATATCAGGGATCAAAAGCTGGCTGTCTCCTTTGTATTCTTTTGCTTGTTTGCCTTTAATTGAATCTGAATGTCTTTGTAGGAGGACAGGGTGGCACTTGAAGCCATGTGGGAGGGTGGGATGCCCCACTTTGCTGTGAGATGGTGAGGGATGAGTGTGGAGGACTGCCCCAAAGACTGAGAGCTTGTGCCAGCGCTCATCCTCTATCTGCATTGATTCACCA